CCGGCCCGTCCGCCGCGGCCGCGCTGCCTGCCTTTCCCGTTCCCCGCTCCCTCAGTTGTTGCAGCAGCTCTGCCCGGCCGCTCTGCGCTCCGCCGGGCCGCAGTCCCCTGCCAGGGACCTGCGTGCGAGGGGTCGGGGTCTTCTCCCTCCAGCGAGCTCCCCCTTGGGCACCCCTCTGCATCTGCCATCACACAGCTGAACAGAAACGCTGCACCCCCGTTTCTTGGGATTTCCCCCCCACTATTTTTCTCTTTCCTGCTAACAYCATCTGAACAGCTTCTTCAGGTGGAATAAAATAGTTCCACTTCTGTCCTGGCAGCTTCACTTTCCTGTTCTCGTAACTCGGAACGGGGGTGCAAGCGTTAAGCGACGATGCTGGTGTTTAAATCGCTTCCCGTTAAGCGGGTGCCTCATCGGAAGATCCTTCTGAAGACTCAGCGGACGTTTCTCTCAGGGACACGTCCCTATCAATCATCTTCCGTTCGTAGGAGTAATTGTCATAATGCAAATAGTTCGTAATAGTCAAGGCTGTAAAGACACGCTTCAGATGGGTGACTGTTTTCTCAAGAATTGTGCATTATGAATCTGCTTAAAAGCCTCCGTGACTCCAAAATGTCAGAGAATGTGCAAAACGTGTAATAGAGTCTTTTCATCCTGTTATGTCATGTTATTCCGGTCACCGTATCTTCCCAGTGATCCCTTCAAGCTGCTGAGTCTTCATTTATTTTGGCTGATGGAGCAAGACAAGTGTGTTTCTTCTTAAGCCAGCGCCGCTCTGTGAATTAACGATCTGGCAGATCATGGGGGTGTGTGTGGGAAGAGCCCTGGATTGCAGCAGATCCCACTGCCCCGCTTGGTCCTGAGCAGCCTTAGCAGCCAACATGTGCAGYGATGAGATGTTTGCTGTCATCTGCTCGCCACGTTGTGCTCTTGGACTGCTTCCTCCTGGGCCTCCGCGTGGTTCCGAGAGCTGCCCGTGGCGCCGGCGCGGGGAGCCAGAAGCCCTCGGCGCAGGTGGATGGGAGCGGGTGCCTGGGTCCCGTCCCGCTGCTGTGACATCCCAGGAGCTTTTTAACCACTTAGGACACATTTTGAAAGTTAACACGTTGCTTTTRAAAAGGTGCCGCAGCAATGCTGAACTTGTGCAATAAACCCCAAATTCAGCGTCAAGGAACCCTCAGACACAGCTTCAGGTGGTGGGAGAGGTGTCGATCTCGGGCTGTCCAGGCTGCCTTTACTGCCTGATCTTCTTGTGCTAGCAAATATGGAGCTTTTCTCCTCTTGAATAGGAGAACAGCATTATGTCCAGCKGCTGGCGGCGGTGGTGGAGACACTGCAATGCAGTTTGTGTAGTTCCTTCCTGACACTGCACTGAAGGTATTGTCTAACATGAACAAAAAGAGCTCGGAAGTGGTATTATTTTTCCCAACTGTTCCCTGATTCACTGTGGGGCTTTGAGCAAATGATTTATGTTCTATTAAGCAATTGTAGAACAGGTTTTGCTAATTGCCATTTCATGACATTTTTAATGTATTCATGTTTACTGTGAAGTACTTGGGTATGTTGGTACCCTGTCTCTGCAGAGGTTCAGTAAAGGACCTCAAAGCAGCCAGAAGGTGGCTGAGCCCCTAATGAAAAGTATTTAATCTTTAAAAATAATTAAAGACTTGGAGGAAGAGGTGCTGGCAAGTGTTGTCCACATAGGTTAAAAAGGTCATAGGGTTGAGGCCAGGTAGGCAGGTGAGAAACATGTAGAAATAATTAGCRGGGAGACAGGGAGGACCTCACCATGAAGAAATGGTCTGAAGTAAGTTCTGCCTGCGTGATTTCTATGGAGCAGCATTCTGACACTGTGCTTTTTTTCTTTTTTTTTTTCCCCTGGTAAGTAAGCGAGTAAAAAGAAAAGGTTGCCTTTAATCCTTCTGATAAGGCTCTCGACAGGAGACCACAGAGCTGCCCAGCTGCGGGTGTCCTGGGCTGCCCCGTGTGCTGGTTTGGGTGCAGCAGGAACCCGGTCCTGYTCGCCGTGGAAGGGTGAAGGTAATTACAGTGGTTCCAAAACTGGCCGAGGTGGCTCTCACAACCCTGCTCTGCCCAACTTTTCCTCCATGTTACAGGATTAATGACCTTGTTTAACCCGCTGCTGTGTTGTGGGCACGTTGGGTGATCTCCTGCAGGCACACATGGGGCTTGATGCTTCATGCAGCCTTGAAGAACTGAGTACTCTAATGACTTGTCTGCTTTTAGCTTATTCAAAGTCAGAGGTATGTGGAGACCTCTGGAAGGACAGACCATGGGCTGAATGGGCACAACAGTAACGTGTGCTTAATATTGCTCTGTGCTGCCATGTGAAAGAGCTGATGCTGAGAAAGTTCACCTTGGAGCTTCCCTGTGTCCTGTAATGCAAAGACCCTAGAAAGCAAATAGGCAAATAATTCCCAACTCTTGCGAGAGTGTACTCTGATATGTTCTTAGGTAGTTATAGAGCAGAAATGCCTTTCTGACCAGGAGTTTAAGAAGATTGATTAAATGTGTAAATAGAGATGAAATGAAATTTGTCAGTGTGTCTTCTATGGGATATTAATGGCCTTTTTTTCAGGTCTTAAGGGAGTTTTTAACTCTTGCAGGCCAAGGTTATTTGATCGAGTTACTTGTTTGTGCCTGGTGCGTGTCCCGCACTGCCCCTCTGTGCCCGGAGCTGCCTGTTCCCGACGGAGATCCCGGCCTGAAGAGGAAACTGCCCCCCTTGTGGAGCTGACCTTTAAAGCTCGCCTTAAACTCCATGAAGCTGCCTGTGCACCCRCTTTTGGGCGGGCAGCGTGAATTTTAGGAAACCCAGTGCTAGTTTGTGGGGAGAAGMAGCAGCAGGGAGGAGAGCACCCAATTCTTGCTCGGGAACAATGGTTCCTATTCAGAATGTAAAGAGGAAGCGGCTGCTTTTTGGAGGGGGTAAGATTGAGAGTAAATATAGCTCATCCAAGAGACTCGTCCGKGTTCAGCGCTTTCCTAGAGCAAACTCAGCTGAGCTGGTGGCATTTTGCCTTTAGGCTGCAAGAGCAGAACTGCTTTTAACCGTTGCAGCGTGTGCTGCTGCAGAGCTTAAATTTGGGATCCCCAAGGGAACGCCAGGCAGCCTCCGGTGTTGTGGAGCAGTCCTGTTAGCAGAAAGGTGTTCAGAGCATCCAGACACAGAACCAGCCCCCTCGCCTTTGTGCAGCAGGAAAAGCTCTGACTTTGGTGTCAGGTGCCCTGGTTGCTGTTCGGGATATGTTGAAATATCTCAGTGCCAGCCTGCGTTGTGAGAGTGGGGATTGTGAGCGCAAAGGCAGCGCGAGAAATGTGAAGTTCCTGTTTCCTGGAAGCTTTTGTGACAACAGCTGAAAGCCTTTTATTAAACTTTWAATAGTACCTCACTTGGGAAGCCCTGTGCAATCTTGACAAGGAGTGATTTTATGTTTTTATTTTTTTCCAAACAACCGTTTAAGGGCACGTTATCAAAGTTTGAACAGTTCTGATGTCTGCATCAGATACTAGATATACTAGATACTAGATAATACTAGATAATACGAGATACTAGAAATATATTGGAATATATTGGAAAAGGTGTAATTAAGGCAGAGTGTCATGTACAGAAGCAAGCGACAGAAAATACTTCAACATATTTAGGTAACGGAGACATTTGAAGTTGTTGATCTTCTCTTGAATTAGAATTGGAACCTGGGAAAACAAAGTGAAATTGGTCTGAAAGTCCAGAATATGATAAATCTCTCTTTAAAGATGTGTAAAGCAACCTTCATCAAAAAGGTAGCTCTCTATGGAGCCTCTAGCTGCTGAAGTCCACTTTCTGCATGTTTTTCTTTGGTATTCTATATGTTTTTTATGCCTTATTTCTCAGGAGAAATGCTTGTCCTCCAATTCTGTTGCAGAAAGGAAAAGTATACATGTAATCTTGAAGCTTTTTGTGAGCAAGATTTGTATTCTGACATTGATGAAAAAGATGGAGGATCTATCCATAAAAGCCTATTGCCCAGTGTATTTCACTGGATTTTATTTGTACTTCATTCAACTTGATGCACAGCTTCTAAATTTGGGTTTGCTTCCACTCTATAGCTGGAAAAAATAAAGATTAAGAAGTCTAATCTGTTAGAAAACTTTATTCTTGGTTTGTTTAAAATTATAATCTGTTTCACGTGAATAAGTGCAAATATAAGATGACCAAAATAACTGCAGACTGACAAGATACCATCTGAAGCAGTTGTCAGACAGAGATGCACATCTGTGTGTCTGGAGTTGTACCTGACATAAAGTGAATCTGAAAGTGTTTAAAACTCTTCAAAAATCCGAGCTGACAGCCAGTAGTTCTGTCCTTTCCTAATGCAAAATTATTAGAAAGGCTGACCAAAAATAAACCAAACTCCTTCTGTCATATTTCAGTGTTTCGTGTCGCAGCCCTGCGAAGCTTTGCTTGGAAAATGGCTTTGTTCCCAAGGTGCCTGATTGGGACAACTCATGGATAATGTTCAATGTGGCAGGGCTGGAAGGTGAAATTTTGAGCAGCAGAATTAAAGGTCCTGATTCTCTCTGAAGTCTTGAGGTTTTGTCACCTAAAACCTACTACTTTCCTATCGGCGGCTATGAAGTCTCTGTGTCTACTRTCTAGGTCTGTGATTTAGTTTTGTTTTCTAGTTTGGCCTTTAAAAAAATGAGAACATTTTTGAAAAACCAGAGTCCAGGGCTGAGACTTGATGTCTGCAGGTTTCCTAGAAGGTTAATCTTGACAGCACGTGCAGCCACACGTGTCATCAGAGTCGCGCTCTCCTCGCTTTGCTGGTGTGTTTCGTAGTAAATCTGTGGCTCCCTGTGCTTGCAATGTTTATACTGTTACTTCTGGGAGTGTTTGTTGAGGTCGGCCAAGCTCCGAGTGAAGCAATTATCTATTTGCTACTGTATTTTTATATCATAAATTAAGTTACAATTTGCGAGTCTGCTCAGGCCATAACAAGGGCTATATTAAAATGCATGATGTAAGGTAGTTTTGACAACCTGATTAGTTGAGGTTTTCTCGTGTTGGGCGAAGGTTGTTGCTGAAGATGGGCGGTTGTTTTGTTCGTGCCTGGATAGTCGCTGTTGGTGCCCGGGTGGGGAGGTGATGCGAGGGGCTGGCACCTGCTTGGCCACTGCAGGATGTCACAGCATCATAGACTCCGTAAGGCTGGAAGGGACCTCTAGAGATGATCTCGTCCAACCCCCTGCACACGCAGGGTCACCTGGGGCACAGGGCTGCATCCAAGTGAGTTTTGAAGCTCTCCAGAGAAGGAGACTCCACAACCTCTCTGGGCAGCCTGTTCCAGGGCTCTGTCACCCTCACTGTTGAGAAAAYTTTCCTTAAGTTCCTGCRGAACTTTTGGTGCTTCAGTTTGTGGCCRTTTTCTTCAGTCCTGTCAGTGGCCACCACTGCAAAGAGGCCGCCCCCTCCTCCTCACTGCCTCCCTTGAGGTGTTTATAGGCACTGATCAGGTCCCCCCTCAGCCTTCTCTTCTCCAGGCTGGACAGCCCCAGCTCTCCCAGCCTTTCCTCACAGGGCAGATGTTCCAGACCCTTGACAAGGGGCAGACAGGGTCATCAAGGAGCCAGCCCCTGTGCCGAGGTGACGTTCCCAGCTTCCGTGTTGGCRTTGGGGCTCCAGTGTACGGATACAGCATCCATAGACAGCGAGGAGGCTGCCGGGTGGCTTGAGTGTGAAGTGMTCCGGCATCTTCCGTGCTGGTTATATTACATTGTGAAGCGCTTGGAAAATCAAATTTAAATACTTGTTTTTTCCCCCAACTCTCCCTGCCACCGAGGTTCCTGTAGTGCTCTTGGTAAGCAGTTGCTGCAGCGTTAGTAAGTATTTATGTCAGCTTTTCCTGGTGTGAGGAGCCACTGAATGATATGACTCTGCAGACCTCAGACCTGTCTGAGAGCTCTGAAATCCTGTATGAGTGTTTTATGACTCTGATTCATKCTGAATCAGAGCAGCTGTATCTTGGAAAAGCTCGGAAACAAAGTTGCCTTCTGTTCCTGCGAAGATTGCACAGACGGGGCTGGCCCTGCTCGGGAAGCCTCTGAATGAAGGCTGCCTTTGAGGCTTCCTGCGGCCCCTCTSAACAGGCACATGGGGATGTGAACTTTAATTACCTGATCACAGATTATTTCCTTCACCCAGGATTTCTGCTGTAGCCGGTGGACACAACGCTTGGTGCTCAGTGAAAGGGTGGTCAGCCACAAACCATCCAGCAATGCCACAGTGGTGTTGGTTCTTCCTAGGTTCTTACCTGCAAGTCTCAGTAAGTTATTTGCACAGCACTGGCTGATAGGAGGTGCTGTTATCAAGTACTGAGGTGGGGAAGGATTAAAATCCTGCCTTTCGAGCATCACAACATTGTGTGGTCCGAAAGAGCGGGTGTTTTTTGGTAGCCCTGCATATACAAGGCAGAATTTGCGCTGGCTTCAGCTCGCCTCTCTTGTAAATGGAGACGCTCTCAGTTTGGATTTCTAATGGCAGCTGCTGAATGTTTTCTTTCCTAGCGTGACTTTCCTTGTCTGAGGGATTTTGTTACTGAGTCAAGGGCAGAATCCCCCTCTCTGGAAGGACGTTCCCCTGTCCTTGATTGTCCCTTTTCCTCCCGTGCTTCCCTGCTTCCTTCACTGCCCGCCTGCAGCTGCAGTGCAGAGAGCAGCTTCACTCATCACACAGCCGTGACTCATTCCCACTCAGCAGCTCTCCCGTGCACAGGTTGAAGCAGAAATTGTGAAATAAGTGGTATGTGAATGTGTAACTAAAGATAACATCTTGTCCTGCAGCTCGTGCTCCATCTGTTTCTCTTGTCCTCCAGCTCTCTAATCCTCTGTGTTGGTGTTAGACTGCTCTCTTCTCTGCTGCTAGCAGCAGCGTGGAGGGCCTTGGGACTGTAATAAACATAGGGTGGCTCTGTCATAATTCAGGTATGAACTGCAGACCTGAACCTTTATATGCCCAGGGTGCCCAACATACACACTTCATATTTTTGAGAGCAGTGAGGAAGAGAAAGGTTGATGTTTTTCATGCTGGGGAAGTGGTGCGGGTCCTTGGAAGGGGACCTTCTTCACTGGTTTGGGGCTCTAGTTGCGACTCAGTTGTCGGTCAGGCTTATGGCAACGGCTCTCCCAGTGCTACCCGACTCATTTCCTTGCACCGYGCGGATTCATGGTGCTCCACAGCCCTGGTAACGGCGCCGTCTCGCAGGCAGTCAGCATGGATTTGGCAGGAGCCGAGGTGGGGCTGTGCTCCGCAGCCCCGATTGCTCTGGTTTGCCATCACCGCTCGCTTCTGGTGTCCTCTGATGGCAGTTTCCTAATTTTGAGTTTCTGTTCGTAGTGCTGCTGCAGCTGTGTTACTGAATGATGTTYCCCTAGAATATTCTTGAATGTGGTATCAGATATCAATATCAAGTATATCAAACTGACCATCAAACTAATTTCAGTAATAACCTGCTTTTTTGCATCTCTAATTTGTTTTGTAGTAAATGAAATTTAGGCAGCTCTGATTCTGCAGTAAAATCAACATTGGCATTAATTTTCTTCAGGCCTCTACCGTATTTAAAAGGGATTTTAAAGCCATCAGAGTTTCTGATTTTCAGGCATGCTGCACTGCACAAAGGCTTTCACCCTGTACTTCCCACACTGCTGAACACAGCAGTGATCACTGAGGCTCTGCCTTGGTCTCTTGCTAACATCTTCTGCCACGGTGCTCGGTCACGGCTGCTCACACCTCCAGACAACACTTGATACCCTGCAAGGCTGATTTCCCATTCCCCTCCTGCTGCACTGAATAAGTGATGCTGAAAGATGGGAGTTACTATTTTCTGTTGTATTATTCACTGATGATGAGTTAAGTTGGTACAGTGGGAAGAAAAAAATCCAGACCCTAAACTCAACCTCTTCTGTTGAGTCAGAACAGAAACCTCTTCTCTGTGTCAGGTGAAAGTAACTCCGTTACAGGCCATGTTCTGCTGGGGATTTTGTTTGTTTTGGAGGAAAAAAATATTTCACACGGGTGCTTTGAGGGAGAGGTGCTGATATGGTATGTATTTATGATTTGTAGTGCCTGGGGAGTGGATACCTTGAAAAAGAATGAATAATAAAGCCTTGTGTGGCCTGGGTTTTTATGGTGGGCTCCTCCTCCAGCACTGACTTAGTTTGTGACCTTGGACGTATCTCTTAAGCTCTCCAGGCCATTGTTTTCCTTTGATAGAATGGGGATAAGCAAATTTCTCCTATTTGCTGTATTTCAAGGTAATGTGCCAACAATTACGAAGGCAACAAGTTCTTTGATAATGGAGGTCATGAGCACCAAAGATACCATTGCTGCTGATAAAACCCACTTAAATTAAACTTCAGAGTAAAGTGTTAATGTTACAAGACCCCTTTATTTGTTTTTGGTGATATTGTTAAAAGCTTTGAGGAAGCTGAATCATGTCAAACCCTCCATCATTTTGGAGAATCTTGTACATTTTCATACTATAAATCATACAGACAAGTACTTATTAGAGCTCCATAATAACGGAGTGTTTGTCTGAAGGGATACAGAGATTTCCTTTCATTTTACTACATGCCCTAATTTGTGTCCTGTCAGCCTTCTAGTGTATTTAATTGTGGAATATCTTGAAGTTGCTCAAAAAATCCAAGCTAAATATAAGGGTAGCTTCATGCTGTTAAAACATTGTCATTTAGAAATAATAGCATTTTTAATTTCTTTACCCAAAACGTTTTCTGTGGGATTACCAAAAGTATCAGCCAAATTACCAAGCCTTATTTATCTGCTAGATTTCTCAACTCAAGGTATTTTTCTGATTATTTTTAGGAGTAAAAGTTCCTCGTAATTTTCGTCTGTTGGAAGAACTTGAAGAAGGTCAGAAAGGAGTAGGTGATGGAACAGTTAGCTGGGGTCTTGAAGACGACGAAGATATGACACTTACAAGATGGACAGGAATGATTATTGGGCCTCCAAGAGTAAGCATCCACTTACATATTAACGTGCTAGTGTGACCTACATCTCTTTTCTTCCCCTTTCCCTCCCCTTAATCTAACCAATGAAATAAAAAATAAGAGAGTAGAGAGAAAAATAAATGAATAAAAACTTTAGCAAGTGGTTCATGTGTAAGGTTCAACTGGCATGTSTATAATTTTGGCTTTTTGCTTATTACTCCAAATATTGTTATACCTTTCTGTGGTTAGTTCTGTTATATGTCTGCTTTGTATTTACAGATTCATTAAGATATAACTTTTGAGATTCCAGGATTCTAGTATCCTGTACTCTTGAATACAGMAAAGTTTAAAATTCTTCGGATAGTGAGATAACATATGGATCTAATGTAGGTAAAAAAGATGGATGTTCTGTTCAGTACTGCTAGTCTTTCTGCTGTTTCTTGTTGAATTTATGGGTTTGTTTTTATTGCAGCAGTACAGACTCTTTTAGAGGCTCAGCTAGCTTAGGGAAACTCAATTTTTAATAATTTAAATTACTTCTCTGAATATCTCTTCTCTCCCGAAGTACCTTCCTATATTGCTACCCTGATCTTTGTGATAGTGTTGCTGCATGTTCCTACTCTCTGTCCTCCAGTTCCCCAACCCTGCTGAACTGTGGGTCTCCATCCTACAGTTGTGAACTTGAGAAGCTAATTGTGTAGCCTTTGTTTGCATGTGCTTTAAAAACAAAACATGTCCAAGCTTTCATTTCACAGTGTTTCTCTGTTTTGTTTCCTGGTAATCCTTACCATGAAATACAAGTACCTGACTCTCCTTCCCGCAATATTGTGCATTATCTTCTGTATCTGGCCTCAGTCTCATTTCTAAACAATTCCAGTGTTCTAAATCTGTTACATGGCAATGTTTACAAGCCTTTCATCATGCTACTGTCATATGTGTTTCCATTCCACTTGCCTTTGTGACACAAGATGAGAATTTATATTTCAATGGGATCACATGTGCAGCAATTTCTGTCTCATCCATAAATGCTCTTTGCTTCTTGTCTGCCATTGTCAAGGTCTCCCAATGTGGTCATTTCATTTCTCTTTTAAGTTTGCCCAAATAGTTCTGAAAATGACATTTGGTTTTTAGAATATTAGGAGATGTTTTAAGGAGCCTGCGTCAAAATTATGAGGAATCTCACTCTGTGCATGTGCCTTGTGCAAAAGTGAAATCTAACATTAAAATTAAGTTGCCAATAGGTACACACTGGCTGGTCAGCGATGGTAGAACACTAGAGTTCACGTCATACTGCGAGGRTAGTCAGTTAGCACAGATTATTGAACTGTGCCTCTTCTGTCCTTTGGACACACTGATGAGTATAGACTTCCTGCAAAACCCCTCTTCCCAACCCCTGGAAAAGTATGTTGGCTTTTGGGATTGAGCTTATTACTTGAAAGGAACAGGCTGCATTAAAAAGAGTCTGGAAACATTCAGCATTCTTGCTTGCTGGGTGGTTATTCTGCCTTGAACAGTACCATTTTTTTCATAATAGGATGTGGGAAATGCTGGCTCTGAAAAAAAAAAAAAGATCTAACCCCCTTCTTCCTGCTGGGTGGTAAATAGTCATATATAGTCATATTTGTAGCAAGTGGAAGAAATTCTTTGGGCATCCTGAAGGGAAAAGGGAGCTGCAGAGCAGAGCTGGGTGCGTGCAGCCCCGCAGGCTGCCATACATGGCAGCCACTTCTCCTTCCCAGACTTTGTGCGGACGCTTTCGCAGCCAGTGATTCATCGTGTTTGCACAAGCTATTTAAAAACAGTGGCACTGGGAGAGCTTGAGCTTTGTCTGCACATACGTTGTGTTGGCTACGGACATGTGCAYGGTCAAGACTTGCCGTGCGCTAGACTGGCACGTTGGGGTTGTTGGCAGGTTTGGGGCTCTCTGCTTCAACCTGTGCACTGTTAATTGCTCCGGGCACAAACACAGTCAGAGGCAGGGCCAGGAGAGCTGACCAGCACTGGGCAGGCCAGGCAGAGCCAACGTGTCTTTCCCCACAGCTTTGCAGGGCTCCTCGGTTTGCCCTGGTCCTGGGCCGGCACCCGGGAGTTCATCCTGCTGAGGTGCTGGAGAAGCTGCTCTGTTTGGAGTGGCCTTTGAGAGTCGCAGACTGGTTTAAAACCCTTTTATTTATATTTATTATAATATGTTTATATGATGATTAGTATTAATAATCATTAATATTAAGAGGAAACATTAAGATGGTGTACAAGGGCATAACAGGCCCTTGAAAGGGATTGCAGCAAGCTTTATATTAAACAGAAGYTTATGCAGATCAGGCTTCTCCCTTTGTATATGGTGTTTGCAAATCCTAGCACTGTGCTGTGCCTGGAGGCAGAAACTGTTACCTGTTYCTGAGCTGCCACGTCTGCAGCTCCTGCTCTTGATCACTGCCCTGGCAGGTTATTCACTGCGGTGCTGAGGGTCCAGGGAATGGTGTCAGAAACTTGAAATGCGGGCAGCCTGTTTGCCTAAGTGTCCCGTGACGCTCCCGTCCCTGCTTGCGCTGCCTGTGGCGCCGCGTTCCCCTGGTGCTCCGGGCCAGGCTGCTCTGGAGCTGCATGGAAAGCAGTTTAGCTTCATCCATTCTTGGAACAGAACAATATTAACTGTTGCTTCTTTTAATAACTTAACAAATATCGCAGAATCAGTGTAGCCTTGTTACACTTCTCTTTTGTACTTGTTGGTTAAAAGTTGCTGATTTCTCTTTCAGCTTTTAAGCATAGCAGTATTATTGCTGGACACATGGAAAGTGATGATTCTGTTTGGGATCAGGATGTACTATGAAATGTATTGAATTCTGGAGCATTTCTTTCTTGATACCTGGTGTATTGTGACCAAAGAATATTGTATAGTTTTAAGTGTTTAAGTTTTAAAGAATTAAGTGTAGTTTAAGTCTGAAGTAAGTAAGTAAGTTAAGTAAGTTAAGTAAGTTAAGTAAGTCTGAATTTAGATGGTTGCCTAAGGCTGCCTTGAAACTGAAGCCACAGCTTTAGCTGTCTGTTTATTAGTAATTCGACAAAAAGGAAACTGTTTTACAAGGGTGGTGATGAAAAGTGGATATCTGAACTGTGCTTAAGAAAAACAATTTCAGTTAGTGAACAGTGAACAGTTAGTGAACAATTTCAGTTAGTGAACAATGTTGATTTCACTCTTAATGTCAAAATGTGATGGATGCTTAAGAGAGCAGTAGAACTTAGTACTCTAAAGACAAAGTACTTAGTACTTTGTACTTTGTACTTAGTACTTAGAGTACTTTAGAGTACTTTGTACTTAGTACTTTAGAGTACTTAGTACTCTGAAGACAAAGCATATAAAACTCTTAAATATTACCCAAAACTCCCCCAAAATAGAATATAAAATGGCTACCGTTAAACTTAGCAATTTGTGTCCTTAAAAGAACTACCGTTTTAAACAAATGATTCTTGGACTTCCTGATGTAATTGTTCCCCCTCCTTTTTTTTTTTTTTTCCTCTCAGACAATTTATGAAAACAGAATATACAGCCTTAAAATAGAATGTGGGCCTAAGTATCCAGAAGCACCTCCATTTGTAAGATTTGTAACAAAAATTAATATGAATGGAGTAAATAGTTCTAATGGAGTGGTAAGTTTTTGGTTTTTATTCCTTTTAATATCTTACACTCRCAGCTTCAAATTACTGCTTTATTTTTTCACTTGAAACTTGCTTAGCTACCTATTGCTTGCCAAGATCATTTCCTTTGAGTAGAAAGAAGGTATGAGAACCACGCATATTCTGGTATTAAGATGCAGAATTGACTTTTTCTGTCAATTTGGAACTCGGTTCCAATGTGTGGATTGACTATTGACTGTGCTGTTAGGAATCCACATGCTTGTTTGTGCTTTCCTTTGTTTCCTCCCATTAGACTCCTTATAGCATCTTTAGTTGGAGGGTGTGTGGTGGGGTAAGAGTTTCACAGCTGTTGATTCTGACAGGAATGGTGTTTTTGTCTGTTTTAGGTGGACCCCAGAGCCATATCAGTCCTAGCAAAATGGCAGAATTCTTATAGTATCAAAGTTGTTCTGCAAGAGCTTCGGCGTCTAATGATGTCTAAAGAAAATATGAAACTTCCTCAGCCACCTGAAGGACAATGTTACAGCAATTAATTAAAAAAAATAATCATGCCCCCTCTTATTCAATTTAAGCTGTCTTCATTTTCCACAGTAGTAAATTTTCTAGATGCATCTTGTAGACCTCAAAATACTGGAAAGGAAGTTCCCATTCAAAGGAAGTTTTTTCTTGAGATACTGTAAATGATACTAATTTTTTTTTCATTTGAAATATAAGTTGTGCTATAACATATAATCCTGTTGTGTAACCACTGTCCACATAGCTGAACTTCTGGTATCAGGAAAAGTCTATTTAAATTTATTACTGTCAAGACCAGTGTGGCACATCTAACTTAACTGTGAAAGCATACATCCCACAATCACCTTGCTGTGTGTCTGGCCTGGGTTTTTTCTTTTTCTATCTTTTGCAATAGAGTCGAAGCTCAGGGCTATTTATTAGAGTAGACACAAAGGTTTTGGCTTCCAGTGCTGCACTGGGCATTACGGACTACTAATGGGGATGTGTGCTAACCTCAGTCATCCCTCCCTTTGTGCTATCTCTAGTAAAGGCTGAATGTGACTGTGGTCATTTTTGTTTTTGTATTTCTTTTTTTTTTTAATGCCCTGATAATATGGGCGAGCTTTCCTTCTTCCCTTTGGCCAAGGCATAGATTGTATTTCTCTTCCCGGGTCCCCTCCCCAGTAACATGGGCTTTGGGCGAGGGATTTGGGCTTCTTTTAATCTCTTCCCCTCTCCGCTGTGGGGGTGCTGCTTTCTTTTTGCCCCTTTTGTGACTCTTCTCACCCCTGGTCATCAGGGCTGAGCGCTGGGGCAATAACTTGACCCGTTCCCTCTTGCTTCTCTGTTTTGGTTTTGCAACAAACTTAAGTCTTCACCAGCCTGGGAAAGGAGAGTCTCTGCTCTGCTGGCAAACTTGGATTTCCCTGCCCTCCGGCACTGCCGCCACACCGCCAAGCTGGCCACGGCTGATGTTATTAGATAGGCTTTGACATGGTGAAAAGAGCAGTCATTTACCAGGATGGCTGAGACCTGCTGCTGCCAAAGTTTTAATGAGGAAACCGCCCGTGGAGATTCAAAATACACACTCCAGTTCAACTAGTTGCATTTTGGTGCTTCAGATTGACCCGAGARTGTTAATTAACTAAGCGTTGCACTTATGTTTTGCCCTTCTGAGATCTGACAGCCACAGACAAATCAAGCTGGCCTAGATTTTTGTTAGGGTTCTTTAAGTCTTGGAAGAGAAAACTCTTCAGTGAAGATTTTGGGAAGTGGTGTAAACAGCAGATTAAGGACCTTTCTTGGCTTTGCATCCTGGCAAATCACTGACTTTTCTGTTTTACTGTTTTGGACCACTAATTGCTGAAATGTGGATGCAAGCTTAAATACGAGCAGCCTAGTGTGTCCTCAGTTTTATGAAAAATTCAGTGTTTGTGTAAAAAAAAAGAAAAAAAAAAGAAAAAAAGACAACAATAAACTCAATTTAAAGCAGCAGCTATCAAGTCAATGAACAATTGATGTTTCCATTAACTCTTTTAAGGAAAAATATTAGTTGTAAGGATTTAACATCCTCTGTAATTAAAGTTTAACATAACAGTATTCCATAAGCAGCCTTTTTATTGTATCAGACCATTGCCTGATTTTAATATAATAAAAAGTGTGCATTAATATTAGAAGGCTTTAATTGTATTTATGTTTAGCATTTTGCTCCCTTGTGGAATTCTGGATTTGTTGGAAGTATCTTCCTACAGATCATGTTGGCTTAGCAGTCAAGTATGAGAACTGGTGGTGAAGGGCGGTTGTCCTCACCCAGCTGCTGCTGCTGTGCCTTGCAGCCAAGGAGAAGCTGTAGCTGAAACCTCCCGTAGGCTTGGCAGGTGGTAACGTTTCTGTCGTGTTAAGGAACTGCTGCAATGAATTTCTAGATGTGTTTGCTGTCTGAAGGTACTGTTACTGCAACACCCTTTGTCTGCTCTAGTCCTTCGGAGGGAGTCGAATCCACTTGCAACTGCACCTTGCGTTGTCTGCCGAGCTAAAGAAGAACGTCAGAGCCTGAAACTTTACCAGTTTCTCCCGGATAGTGAACTGTACAAAGGTGACCTTCTTTCCAAATCTGGATGAAAATGAGGCTGAGAAATTATGACCTTTTCAGGTACAGAATGTCTCCATTAAAGAGGATTGCCCGAAGGTATTTGTTGTGCATTCACTTTAAAATCTTGGTGAAACAAGTTTCTTCCTGGGTGTAGGAAAATAAAAGGGAATGACCTGTATTTGTGAAACATAATGCTGTCTTCTAGCCTAAAATATTTTCAATCATTTAATAGCTCAGAGTTATCTGTGAAGACAGTATGACCGATGCTCTGTCAACATTGTGTGCGTGTGTGTGGTTTTTTTTAAGTAACTTAATATTTAAAAATGTTCAATGAGAATCAGAAGAATGCTGGATAATTGCAGCGCACTTTTTGAATATCTCATTTTTTTTCAGAGCTGTTGTACAAATGTGCTTACCCTGTTCAGTAGGTAAGATGGCCCCTTCCTCAGCCCTCATACTTCAAGTAATAGTTTTAAAACTTGCGGTTGTCTAATTTGTTTGGTGAGATGTAAGGGTTAGAACATTGCACCGTGACCCGGCGCCGTGCTGCTGTTGGMACCGTGCTAGCAGGTACTGTGTATTAACAAAAGTGGGATATGAAGTTGGGGGGCTTTGAAAAAACGTGGCTCACTGTAAATTTACTGACCTAAGAGCTGCTGTCTGAACACCTCAGTGCTCCAGTGCGCTCATGTGCCAGTGGAAACCGAGTAGGAGTAAAATGGAAAAATGATGTAGTAAAAGTTGGCTGCTGTTGACTCTGTGTCTTTGCTTTGTCACCGTTTGGGACTTTTGGATTGTGTAGTGGGAGAGACCAGTCATCCAACAACCCCCGTGTGATGCTAGTTCCTTGTTTATGCTCCAGAAATTAAGTGGGGAAATGAACCCACATCTTACCTGTCTTTATTCTTCCCCGGGCAGCGTAAAGGCAAGATTTTGGGCTGATCCCTGCTGATTCTCAGTTTATGTTCAGAGCTGATGCCTTGTAAGGGAAAGATAGGATGAGACTATAGATTTCTAAAAGTGTGTTGGCCATAAAATACACRTTATTCCAAAGTGATTCAAACAGTGCTCGGGAAAGCAGGCTAAGCAAGAAGGGTGCATGCAGCTACCCTGTAATGGTTCCCTTCAGCGACTATATAATGCATTACTGCAGCAAATATTTTGCACTGGATGCTTCAAATAAGAAACTTCACCCGTCTCTCCTGTCTATGGACACATAAAAATAGTGTTTGCCTCAGCTACTAGTGTGAAGACAGTAGAGGGAGCTCGCAAGCTTTCCAAGGCTTCCCTCTGGGTAAGGTGCAAATGTGCCTAATTTAAATGTTAAGCCCTCCTGTGAGAGCRACTTCTATTTATCCTGCATCACTTTAGGGTTTTTTTTTAGCTTGTTTAACATGACTGTCTCACTATGCAAAATTTAATTTGCTGGGGTGAGATTAAAATCTCACTGCGGTGAGATTTTAATTATTAATAAAGACTGGTTGTCGTTGATTTCTTGCTTTGCGGTAATTAAATCTTGTGTTGTGGGGGGAATGTGTGCTTAACGGTGCCTTTTTGGTACTCTAATGGCCACCCTTAGACCTTTGCATATAAATTTTAAGCTTCTTCTATCACCATGAAGGTTGTGAAGCCAGGGATGTATTGTGAGCRGTAGCACAGCAGGAGAAGCAGCCAGTGGGTGCAGAACTGAGTCTAATTATGGCCATAGTTTTGGGGCAAACGGTCAGATWCAATAAAATAAAAAGCTGGAATGGTTTTATTTTAGTGCTGCTGAGCTCCATGTGCTGTAGCGGGCAGGTGCAGTGTAGGGGAACAGTATGGAGTTATGGTACTTTTAAGAAGGGTAGCAGAGGTGTAGGAGATTTTCAGGCATCCTCTGCAGTGTGGGAGTAAATTGTCTTGGGGATTTGATAAGCCCTGGCTGTGGGTGTCCTGCCGAGGAGCAGGTTGTGGGTTTGCTTGGCCCAGCACTCTGTGGCCAGGCAGTGTTCTCAGTGCTTTGTTATACAGCACTATGTTACAGTGCTGCAGTGTTCTCAGTGCTGCATTACAGCCCCATGTTACAGCGCTGCAGCTTCTCTCAAGCTGGCACCTGCTTGTCCTGCAACAAAAGGGCTCCAGTTCTGCACAGTCGGTAAATACTTGTGTCAACTTGAAGCTGCAGCTATCTGGAACTAAAAGCAGAGCGGGAGCATCTAAGAGCGGTGTTCCTGATATCTAAACTTCTCGTGGTTTTATTTAAGACTCTCTCTCTGGTGGCTTAGTTTTGCTAAACTGGTGGAAATTGTCCTGTTGCATTCTCTCTGGCAAGGATGCTTTCCAGCAGCACGTTGACCTTGCTGTTGACTAAAATTTGGGTTCCGTAATAGCTTCTCATTTTCTCTGGTTTTGCTGTAGCAGATTGCTGAAGAATGCTTAACTTTTAAGCCTGTGAAGAGCCTCAGTGAAGTCAAATTTAAGTTAGGCGCTCACTTAAGTGCTTTGTTGGACAAGAGCCAGCGTGCTCTGTCTCTCCTAGGAAAGAGACTGTTTTAGCCTTTATTGCACATCTTCCCAGCCCGCCTTTCTTGGTGCTGCATCCTTGGTGCTTGTGCCTTTGTTTTCCTGATGCCTCCCACATCTGTTGCAATAAAAAAGCAAAGAGCAGAAGGAGATGTGGAAGATAAGGAGATAAGTTAGATTTTTCATCATGTTATATCTGCTGAGCATCACGTCGGCTTTTTCATCCTTATCTCCTTTCTAAATAAAGTCTACAAAGGGCTTTCAGAAAGGTGGGTCTTGTGCTAATTTTCCAGCTCTCCAGCTAGGTTGCTGGTGGCTTTGCCCTGACGTGTCTGCAAAGCCCTGCAGTACCTTGTTGGGTAACAACAGGGGAGAAGAAAAGTCAAGTGGTTTGTCTTAAATTTCCCTTCCCCACTCAGTTGCTCAACATTTATTCTCCTGTGTTGTCATATGTTATTAGCTCTGCTCACCAAGGAATGTTTCTGGATAGCCAAAACTGAAACTTTTCTTGGAAAAAAAACAAGCAGGAGTTCTGGAAGCAGTAGGAAAACAACCTCCTGAGCCATCTCTGTGAGAAATAGCCCCTTTTCCCTCCTGCTCACCCTTTTTGTAGGTCTGCTTTGAAACAGCTTGCTGGCAGTTGCTGCAGAAAGGTCTTGTCTTTAGGGAGCTGTTTAACTTGTCCTGCTGTGGAGGCTTTTGGGGGCAGGTATTTGTTAACAGGGAGTTAATAGTGAGTTGTCAGTAGTGGGTGCTGCCAGGGGGAGGACAGAGGGAAAGCAACGTGCGGGGCTGGCAGTACCCAGCCTGGGCACACGCTCTGCCGCAATCATTGCGAGCAACGTGTGTGTCTGAGTTGTCCAACAGCTGCCTTCGCTCCTGTGTGCCGCAGTGGAAAGCACGCATACACCGTCAGAGGCACTCCTGGAAATGGGGAGGAATGCCTAATCAAAGCTTCTTACAATCATTGGTGATACCTGTGTAGGTGAGACCTGTAGGTAGGTACATAGGGCTTGGATAGAAGGGCTGCGTGTGCGATGCTGGAGCAGCGTGCGGGGCTTGAGAAACACCCGTAGCAGAACAGAGGCTTCAGTCAGATGTTTGSCAAACTTCATTCCCTCCAAAGAGACCTCTTAAATCCCTGGGCTACCAGATTATGTGTTGTCCAAGGTTAGCGGCCAGATGTTTCTCAGCTGTTTGGACTGACTTCCAGCTGAGACCAAATGAGTGGCTATCCAAGATGTAAGTATTAATATAAACATTGTAGAGGCCTTGCCTTGAGCAAGCCATTAAAAACTTCCCACGATCCTATGAGCAATGCTGGCTTCCTTAGAGAGCATCAGTGTTTTGTGCCTCGCACTCGAGTATCCCGAGTGGGGCAGACCCGGGCTGCCACCTGCTAGTGCGGCGCTCGGGCCAGGCCTCCCCCTTGCTCTCGTGGCGCCAGAGCAGTGTGGTCCCTGGAATTTGATTATTTGTTTTAGCAGATAATTTAGGCCAGAAGGCTTAGAGTGTTCCCTTCCTTCTCTGGATGTCGTCATGCTTCCCAGCAAAACACAATCCCAGGTCCTGTGTCCCGTTCCTTCCCCTCACCCCGTAAGGGGAACAAAAATGCTTTCAACTTTGCTTCGTCTGTAGGGTCACTGTCCACTAGTTTCAAGCTCGTCTGTGGCTTCTGTAGGGCTGCCAGAAGGGGAGGATTTTATTACATCCAGCATGTAGAGTTATGTTTTTGATCATTACATATTTAAAATAAAGCGAGTTTTTGATGCATGATTCTTCTCCTGGAATATTGCTAAATCTACCCCTGAGCGTTGGAGTTRGGACATGAGCAATAGAAAATGACCCTGTGCTGTCTCCCATTGGAAAGAAATGAGAATCTTTCAGTRTTCATCACGACTTTCAGCAAGTTTTAATACTGCAGTCTCTAAGACTGTTCTAATCCCATGCTGAATAGGATCTTGTGCCAAGACTGAATCCTGTTGGAACTGAGAGAGATTTATTTGTAGAGCCAGAGGCTGTTCCACATAAGTGAATGTGCTATGGGTTGAGTCTGAGAGGTGAGTTTGTACCTTAGGGCCTCGCGTTTCTGCAGTGAGTAGCACAGTTGACCGCAATCTCTTTCCTTTATCTCAAACGTGGATGGTTGGTAGCTGCCCGCAATACTCACCTGT